TTGCTTCCGTTAACGACTCCAATTTGCAATATTCTTGTTCATTCTAAGAAGAAAGGAACTATACCTTCATATTATTAGCACAACGTTCAACCGAATATCAGAACAAAAAATCTAGTAATAATCTATACCTTCATCTGACAGATGTGATATTCTTGCAATACATATTCTATATAGCTCAAATCAACTTCAGGTAATTCCATTAGAGGAAAATAGAAGAGCTGACCGGAAAACAGAGCAGATTCACAATACCTCCTCCATTGGAGGAAAATAGTACAGATTCACAGAGCAGAGAGTGCCGTTTATGCGTTCAATAGCAACTTGCCGGTTTTCCGATATGCCTAATGGATTTATCGGAAGCTTTTAATGGTTTGGAATTTCCTCATGGTTAGGTTCTAAATGTAAAAGAAAAAGGGTATTATCTAACCTAGATAATGAAAAGGAGATTCAACGGCAAACCTAGAGTTGTCCGAGCGCGCGAGGAAGTGTCGTCTGAGCGCAAAAGCTGAATTCCTCCCATTACCACTATCAAACCAAGGCAGGAAGAGCTGACCGAGAAGCAGGAGGCAATCGAACAAGCGAAGCAGTCGGTCGGTTGTGCAGTTAACGGAGAGTTAGTTTTGAAGAGGGACGGTGTTTTGGGTGATTGAACAGTAAATATGAAAGTTTTAGTGTTAGATAGGTAAATAGTAAAGTTTTATGTGTTATGTATGTAAAAATTCCTATTGAATAATGTTAAAAATGACTACTAAAATGCATGGTATAATTTATGGTAACTATTCAACCTGATAATTACTACATAGATTTGAGATTATTATGCTGTTACGAGCAAACTATTTTAATATTCTATTAATTACTATTCTATTGCTTCTATTATTGACATGATGTACTGTTTATTATTTTATAATATTGAGTATGTGATATACTGAGTAATGTACTGAGCATGTGATATATATATATACTAGCTGAATAGTATTTGTGCACCTTTATACGTTTATATTGCATTAATGTGATGTCAATGGCTTTTAACGATATTTTGATTTTACTGATTTATATGATTGATAGTATTAATATGATAACAACTTTATTGATTAGCACCTGTATAAATTTTACTGGTACTGCATATGAGTTTTACTATTTCTATATTGATTCATGATCATTGATTGCTGCTATTATCAATTGAATTGTTGCGTCCTTGAGTATTCACGGCGGTAGAGAAATATATAGTTTAATGTCTTAGCATTGTACGAAGATCCAGCACACAATCAGATAAGTGAGAGGGTGTAGCATTCATAAGAGACACCAAAGTTTTTACGTTGAAAACCCCTAAAAAGGGGGAATAAATCACGGGGCCTGGCCTAGTTTGAATGAATCCACTAGTATTTGCAGTATATTACAAATGAGGCCCTTCCTTAGGAGAAGGCCTTGGATTGATGTAGAAAACGTACATCATATAGATTGCATTACATGGTGGGAGTTACATATACATGTTTGTTTGGTCGGAAGGACCGTAATCGGCAGGAGACCGGGGTCAGAAAGACCATTGTCTGTTGATGAAGGTCGGAAGGACCATAGTAAGCGACGAATGTTAGAAGGACAGTAATCGACAGGAGATATGGGTCAGAAAGATTGTTGTCTGTTGATGGAGGTCGGAAGGACCGTAGTCGGCAGGAGACCTGGGTCAGAAAGACCGTTGTCAGTTGATGGAGGTCAGAAGGATCATAGTAGGCGACGGAGGTCAGAATGACCGTAGTCGGCAGGAGACTAGGGTCTGAAAGACTGTTGTCTGGTGATGGAGGTCGGAAGGACCATAGTAGGTGACGAAGGTCTGAAGAATCATAGTCGGCAGTATTCTAGGAGAACTCTGGGCATCATGTGGTGGCCTGGTGGAGCTCAAGGCCTCAAGTAGTGGTCCGGTGGAAGTCTGGGCCTCATGTGATATTCTGGAGGAGCACACGGCCTTTGATGATGATCTGGCAAAGTCAAGGGCCTCTGGCGAAGGTGAGGGCCTCAGGTGAAGGTGAGAGCCTTTGGTGAAGGTGAGGGCCTTTGGCGAAGGTGAGGGCCTCTGGGGTAGGTGAGGGTCTCTGGTGAAGGTGAGGGCCTCTAGCGAAGGTGAGGGTCTTTGGTGAAGGTGAGGGCTTAGGTGGAGGTGCGGCGAAGCTCCGACGGTGGTCTGGCGAGGCTCCGACGGTGGTCCGGCGAGGTTCCGATGGTGGTCCGGCGAGTCTCCGGCGGTGGTCCGGCGAGGTGAGGGCCTCAGATGGTGGTCCGGAGAAGCTCCGGCGGTGGTCAGGCGAGGCTCTGTCGGTGGTCCGGCGAGGCTCCTGCGGTGGTCCGGCTAGGTTCCGGCGGTGGTCGAGGAAGAGCTTCTTCCTTTTCTTCCTTCTCTTCTTCCTTATCTTCTCCTCTTATCTTCTTGCTTGGGTCCCTCTTTGTGAAGAATGATGACTCTATTTATAGTTTTTCTAGAGTGGCATAGCTTGTAAATAGGCGTGAGATCAGGGGCGAATAGGGAGTGGTCGAATGGGCGGCCGATATCGAATCTTACGATTGTGTACCGTTCGTTGGACATTTGAATGTCTTAGAGATGTCGGAATTCGGCAATTTAGGGCTCGTTGGATTTGTCTCGTCGAGCCGTTCGATTTGAGTATAAGCTCGTTAAAATCGGAGACCGTTTAGTAACTCAAATTGTTATTCAAACCTTCCAACAGCATTTCGAGTCTTTGATTTAGACTCATTTGGGCTCGGATCGAGTTGAATTTGGTGTCGTTGGGTTCGTATTTTCTAGACTCTCAGTTTGACTATAAGCTTGCTGAAATCGGAGTTCGGGTGTACTCGGATTTAATTTCTAAAGTTTCCGGATTGGATTTTGCATCGAGATTCGTGCCATATAAAGATAATTTTTGGAGAATATATTATGAATGATGACATGTATACTACTTTATAGCGCTTTAAATTCAATGATAGAATTTTAGTGACATTCTGGACTTTTTACCTTATTATATGTGGTTTAAATGATTTCAAGTCAAGGTCATGGAAGAGGTTTATGATTGTGAGACTGATCATGATTTCTTATGTTTATTTATTTATTTTTTATTTTAGTTATTCTTTTGTACTCATGAATGGAAGAATATATTGTTATTGTGTGATTCCAAAATATGATATAAGATTTTTGGGGTCAATGAATATAGATTGCATATGAATGTTTTGTTTAATAGAATTTATTTCTACTAATATATTATTTCATTCCTAACAAATAAAATTAGATAGATGTGGCTGTTGTTTAATAAAAAGATGAAAGAAAGAATTCTTCTAAATTATATTTTGTGGTGTGACATCTCAGCTTTCTCAAATATGTGAAAGTAGGGTTTATTTATAATATATGTAGATTTATATTGCCATCATAAATCAAAATACATGCATTTTTAGATGGCCTTTCTTGAGCACCTTTAATCATATGATATTTTTTGAACATTTAAATGCCTTAATGATGTTAGAAGTGGGTGATCTAAAACTCGTTATATTTATCTTATCTAAATCCACATATTGACTACAAATTTATCGAGAACAGAATTTAAATATTCTCAAAGATGATTCTTAATTTAATTACTTGCATGAATATTTGTGATTTTTCGAATGAATTATATGATGTGTATTAATAACATAATAATAAATATTATAAATTAGTATATGATAAGATTTAGTCTTCGCTTGGGACGACTTTTTTACGGCTTTCTAAAACGGAGTTTTAATAAAAAAATAAAAAAAATTGTACTAAAACTCCGTTTTAGAAAGCAATTAAAAAGCCGTCCCAAACGAAACCTTAGTCGTGAAAAAGAGTCTTTTGGGCTGCTTGGTTGAGGTTTAGGTTAGATTAAGCTATTTTAAGTTCTTAAGTTTAATTAAATATCTCAATTTGCTATCTCTTTTAAGTTAGGCAAGTCAAAATATGTATTTGCTGAGTGGATGATGAGTTTGACCTTAGTGCTCAGTTTCTCAATGATTAAATAAATTTAAAATTCATTGAAATACATTTAAATATTATTAAATTTATAATCAGCATTAAGTTTTTGATTTCATAAGCTAATTTTTTCAAAACAAATAAATTTAATGTTTCATAAGCTTATATTTTAAAACTAATTAGGCTTATGTTTTATAATAATAAATTTAAAGCTATTAAAAGAATTTAATCATATTTTTTTTATGATTATAAATTAACTTGAAATTATATAATATTAGAATTATATAATGAGTTATGAAAATGTTAAGCAAAAATAATAAAATATAGTTAGATAATTTTTTTAACTTATCACAATTTCTAATTACTTTTTAAACTAATAAAATCATTTTATTTTAATTAAGGCTTAAGCTCATCATCACATTCACCTTTACTTAATTTACCTTGAGCTAGGTTAATTAAAACTTCAGCCGGGCATGTATGTGTTGATTTTCTACATTTCGTGGGCTTTTAGTAATGGGCCACGGGCTCTTATGGCCTTGTACTAAAGATGTTTCAGCCTCTTAGACATGGAAGTCCAAACGAGTAAATGAGTTACTGCATTAGTTCGTCGGTTCCATCTAGGGGTGCAAATGAGCCAAGCCGACTCGAGCTCGACTCGTTAATGAGCTCGCGAGTCGAGCTTATCGAGTATCAAGCTCGAGTTCGAGCAAAAAATCGAGCTCGGTCCATAAATGAGCTCGAGTTCAATACACAGTCCGTCCGACTCGAGTGTAGGCGGAAGTTCAATACACAGTCCGTCCGACTCGAGTGTAGGTGGAAGGACGGAAGTGCGAAAGGCGGCAAAGCCAAATACTGAGGCGGAATCAAAACTTTTGGTCACGGCAGAATGGGCGGATAAGGGCATCTCCAACCGAACGGCAAACACTTGTTTGCCGTTCTTGTTTTGCTCCAACCGATCGCCATTTTTTACGCCATTTGATCGCGGATGAACGAACCGGTTCATTAGGTTTTTTTGTCCGAGTCGTGAGAAGCGTTGGGCGCCGTTCCTGTTCGTGACCTAGGCTTCTCTTCGTCGTCTTCCCTTCTTCTCCTACAGCACTCTTGCTCGGATCTGGGTTTTATCTTCTTCTTATTCATTTCTATTTCAATACTTTTTAATGTTTAGATTTCTTCCGTTCTTCATGAGAAGTGTATTAACTCAGTTTTTTTTTCTTACTGCAGTTACGAGAAGGGTTACTGCATTAGTTCGTCGGTTCCATACTTCCATCTCTTGCCGGACACGACATTGTTCTTTGGCCGAGTAATGGAGGCGGTCGGCGGAGCTACGGCAGCTCCAGAGCAGCAGCAGCCAGCGCCGACTCCGTCGAAGGCAGAGCGGCTGAACTTAGCAGTACAGCAGCAGCTTAATCTCGAGTCAGTGAAGGCTCGTGCCCTCGGTCTTAGTAAGGCCATTTCACGAATCCTCGAGGACTTCAACGCCATCGCTCTCACCAACGCTACTCCGAAATGGTAAATTCCGGTGCCTACTGTCGACACGCATCTTAGCAATGCTATTTTGATGTGCCTTTTTGTCCGATTCTCTATTTACTTCTTCTAGGGTTCATTGCTGGTTAAGTTCCACCAAATTTTTACAATAAGTTAATTGTGCTTTTTTAAATTAGTTGAATTGTGGATTGAGTTTGAAGATGACATTCCAAAATTACAATAATTTGCTATTAAAATATTGGCTCTTACATGCTCATTATCAAGGTGTGAATAAAATCAGAATACATGTAACTAAATTCATATCAAAAAGAGAATTTATTTGACATCTTTAAGAATGAAGTCATTGGTTTGCATTATGTAAACCAAAGAATTAAAAAATTAGCATTTAACGAAGACAAGAATAGAGGATGATGAAGATTCCAAGGTTTTAAAAACCGGATCGGTTAGTTGAACCGTGAATCGGTTACCTGGCCGTTCGGTTCCCTCCCAGAACTTCTTTTGAAGCAAACCACGCAAAAACCGTCTAGAAGCCTAGTCGTACAGTTTAACTAGAAAACCAGTGATGGTTTTAAAAAATTGCGTGGTTCAAAATTCAAATTAAGCTCAATCTGAACAGTTGATTTTAGATCTAACGCTCTATGAGTAAAATTAAGGAAATAACAATTCTTATTCCCTTCCGTACCTTTATTTCGTTTGTGTTAATAGCCAAATAGGTCTGTCATCCCGTTACTTCGTCTCCCTCTCGGCGCCCACTCTTCATTCACAAACTCGAAGAGCTCACCTCCTCAACGCAAATAGTATTTCTCTTCGGCATCACATTCTCTTCTCCTCTCTTCTTCAAATCGTGGGATGTAAGTTTTTTTTTTTTTGGAAACCCCAAATATTTAGGGTTTGTTTTGGTAATTTTTTTTTTCTTATGTCTGAGTTGAAGACATTTCTTGAAGTCCTTTCCTAGAAATGTCTTCTAAAAGCACAAACATGTAAATTAAATAGATTTTTTCATTTTTTTTGTCATTTTGTTGAAATGAAAAAAATTGCATTAATGCTTTTCTGTAAATGTATGGTGATGCTGTTTTCTTTTGAATTTGGAATGGTGAGATCTGTAGCTTGGTAAATGGAAAGAATTTATGACATTAGAAAATTCATTTGATTAAATATGAGTTTTGATGTAATATTTAGATCCAACAACACTTTGCAATAAACAATGACAAAGCAAATTGGGAGACATTGGACTCCATAGGATGAGTGAGGAGAGAGAACAATTTGTTGTTATGATGACGACTCTAATAAAACCCTCCTTAGTGATGGCAACGTAGATGAAATCTAAGTTTTTGTCAACTCTTTCAGTTTTCTTGCGGAATTTAGTGTGGATGAGTAGGGAATTAAAAAAGAAGAAATTTGGAGATGAATTTGATATTACATGATTATTTTATGTCATTCATATATTTAATATTATTTAGCTCTTATAATATTTAAATTTCAATTTTATTTCATGTAATTTATCACTTGTCACTTTACATTTTGTGCAATTTTTTATTTTATATGTATGTCAATTTATTACTTTATAATTCAATAGAGAAAGATAACATGTCATTTTTTAACATATTATTTGGGTATTATATAAAATATCATTTTTAATATTTATTTTGACTTAACGCAATATCTTTATTTTGAGGCTTATGCATCACCTCACGAATAAAAAACGTCTTAATACTCAATTGCGTAATTTTAAACCTTGTATTTAAGAATTGATTTTGAGATATTTAAAATCTTTTTTTAATACATTTATATTCGAAATGAAGTGATGAACATGTTAATGAGATGAATATGATGATACTAAGATATTTTAATTTAAATTAAGTATTCATAAGTATGGTTTTAATTTATCTTGATCATGTGAAGGATTAAATTCATTTTAGAATGCAAAGTAGCTTTAAAACATAGCTAAAAACCAATCATATAATTCTATGAATTTCTTTAATAAATTTATAGAAGCAAAGTTATGGGTAAAAAGTAACCGGTCATCTATAGGTAAAGAAAACCAAGCTATATACTAAGAAGGCTAGTTATAACACAAAGAATGACTAAAAAAAGGTAGGCCTCATTAACAGCCTATAATAGATAATGAAATTCAGTTCTAAAGGTCAACTTATTAACATGCAATATTTGTTTTTGATGCTCACTGTTTTTAACAAGCGGTGTTTGTTTTATGTGCTTATTGACATTCACTTTCTATTGTTGTTGATGTTTGCGGCCAATTTCACATTGTTGTAGATGTTTGTTCTTGATTGTTTCTAACTCTTCTTGACTGCAACCAATGCCCTCTATCATTGATTGTTAATCGCAAATTAAAGTTGATGTTCGTCATTCTTCATCTTTCACTTAATATTAGCATTGATCACCTTATCATAAAATCTCTTCTTATTTGAAGGGTTGATCCATGCAAATTTTGCAACTTAAGCATAAGCTTGATTAGATTACTAGTTTTTGGATAGAAGAAACATGATATTATAGCCAATTCCTTCCAATCTTTTGTCGATATTTATTGGTATAAATATGGCGTGAGCGTGAATGTAAATTTTTTTATGAATTAATTTGGTTGTTGTATTAGAATGAAAGCTCCCAGTGCTTAGCCCACAACATCAGGTCATAGTGTGCGTGAAAAAATAAATATTGCTTGGAATCATCACTGAAATTGGAGGAGTTGATGGAAAGAAGCAATTCAAATGCTTGTAGTATGGAACTGCATATAAGAGAGGTGGCATAAAAAGAATGAAATAACATTTAGGAGTTAAGGGGTACATATCTTCCTGCAAAAAAGTGTCACATGATGTTCTCTATCAAATGCAGGAGAATTTAAAGGAAATATTAAAAAAAAAAAACATCAAGGACAGGAGATGGAGAGTACATCAATTCCTATAAACGACATTATATTGGAAAGAAGAGACTCTTCTTCTCTGCCCAAATCACAAATATCCAAAGTATATAGAGTAGGAGTTGATAAAGGAAAAAGAAAACTTGATGATATAGCTAATTTACTTGCTCCCAGAACTAAGCCTGGATCTCAACATTTGCTTAAAAGTGTCATCCAAAGAAGTAATAAATCATGCATATATGGTTGTAGCAAGTTGATTTTTTTACTGTTACATTCCATTTAATGCCCGGAGAATGTAGTGCAACTAATAATTGATAATACTGCAAACTATAAGAAAGTTGGTGAGATGTTAAATGAAAGATTCAGTAGAATTTACTGGTCACCTTGTGCAACACACTATATGAATTTAATTTTGAAGAACATAAGTAGCATGCCACACATAGAAGAGTTAGCTAGAAAAGTATCAAATGTGACAATTTTTACTTATGATTATATATTTATAATTGCAAGGCTTAAAAAAAGACCATATTGGACAAAGATTATACGTCCAAGAGCTACAAGATTTGCGGCTACTTTCATAATTTTAAAAAGTATCTATGACCACAAGCATGACTTGCAAGCTTTAGTCATTTGTAAATTTTACACATTCAAAGTTATCTAAAACCACCAAAGGAAAAGAAGAAGTCATTATTATTTTGGATTTGAACTTTTGGAATGAGTATCTTCTTATATCAAAAATATTTGATCTATTAATTAGATTTTTGTGTATAGTTTTTTTTTTAAGCAAAACAAATTTTATTCCAAAATAAGGGGGCATACAACAAAAGCCAAGAAAGGTAAAAAAAGAAAAGATACAAAGCTAAAGGATAGCCACATTAATCCAAAAAATAATAATAATGAGAAAATAATAAAATCAAAGAGCCGGACTCAGAAACACCCTGTTGTTAGGCTAGAGCCATCCATTGGTAAGCTTCAGCGAGAGAACCCAAATACGAACACACCATCAAATGTGGTTGTCTCTTTGATTGAACCTGTTATACCTTTAAATGAGGGTGAAATCCATTCAAAGAAGCGCAATCTTTTAGAGCATCAATGGCTCAATGATTTAGCACAATCTCAATTTGAATAATGGGTATAATTTTGAAGTATATTTATATGGAATTGTATTTTTTATAATAGCCGGACACGCGTGTATAATAATAATAAATAAGATATGAGTGAATAATGATTTGCATGTTCGGAATCTATATTTGAAATTATTTATTCTCATATTTGCTGGATAAGGTGAACTCTGAAGAGGAAGTCATATGTGCAGACAGTTTTTTTCATGGAATATAATCATCTTAGATTTTGCTATATTTGTGTGACAGGCAAGATATACTGGGGCAATTTTCAATGGTAAATATGGAGCTTTTCAACATTGTGGAGGACATAAAGAAAGTTTCGAAGGCATTTGTTGTGCATCCCAAGAATGTGAATGCCGAGAATGCCCTGAGTATGTATCTTATAAACCCTTTGAGTAATTTAAACATTAGTTTTTCATTTTTTTGGCTTTTATAGGAAAGGCATATGTACATAGGAGCAGTCAGTTGCGTGCGTCACCGAAAGTTATTTGATATTTCTGTTTGCTTCATGTTAGTGTTTTGTTCTATTAGGGTTAGTGTTTTTTTTTCATGAGGCATAGGTGATCCCGCAACTGGTGCCAACTCTTTCAAATAATTTCATTAACTAGTAGTTGCTTTCAAAGGTTATTTTTATGTCGAGTTGATCATGTTCAAATGCTTAAGGCTTTTGTCATTTGATAGAATTTAAATTTTGATAAAAAAATCGTAATACTGATTTGACTCAATGAATTTTCTTTGAAGCAACCTGATACTGTTTCTATTTGTTTTGCTTGAATTTTTAGTTAAAAAGATATCCTTGTGAAATAGACTTTGTCCTCAAGTCTTCAGGAGCATCTTCAAGTTTGCCGTTTATATCTTTCTTTATTTCATTTTTAAATGTTTCTTCTGCTAAGTTGAATGTTATCATCTGGAGAAGCAGCTAGTAGATTGGAGGTAGCTGTGCTTTGTTAATTACTACTTGAAACTTCACTCTTGTGAACTTGAGGTAGGGGTGTAAACAAGTTGAGTTGAGCTTGAGTTCGGCTCACAGGCCAAATCACGAGCTTGAACTCAAGCTTAGCTTGTAGCAATGAAAGTGTGCTCGCGAGCTAACTTGTTAGATCATAAAAATAGGCTTGACGTGATACCACAGATAAGAAGGCGTGACTGTAACACGTGCAATTACTAGTTACTATTTTTTTTTCCTTTCATGGGAACAACTACAGCCTGCAATGCAGTTTTTTTGGTGATATGGGCCTTTCTAGATGCAACTTTTAAAAGTAGTTGCTAGTAGCAGCTTTCATTTGAAAAGAAGAAAAAAAAGCTTATTTTCTCAAGTAAAGAAAAAAATTGTAATAACTACATTGCAAATTAACTTGCGAGTTGAGCCTTATCAAGCTCAAACTCGAGTTCGTTTAATAGACGAGCTCATGTTTAAGCTCGAGCTCAAGCTCATGGCTCGATAAGCTTGACTCGTGGCTCGTTTTCAGGTCGAACTTTAGCCGGCTCGACTCACTTACTTGCCTAGCTCTAGGTTTGTTGCAATTGTGTAAATTCCAATAGTTAACTTAGACCTTACCCCCTTGATCTGTATATTTTAGTTTCTTAAAATAAAGTATCATTCAGAAGTGATATATTATTGTTATTAGTTATATAAATTTCAAACTTGTGTAACGTTTATTTTACTTTATATTACTAGTTCTACATGCTTTGTGTACTTTTAATGCTTTAGAACTTGTTTCCTTTAACCTGTTCCATACCCTTCAAGTTAGCTGAATGGCTCATTATAGGATGAAAGCCCACTTTTTGTACAAGTGTAGTTAATACTTAATAGGTAAAATTAACTTGCATGGTGTGCATATCATTTGAAAGATACATCAAGTTCCCAAAATTAACTCGCATGCATTTGCTTTGATAAACATGCTGATTGCTTAAACTTAAAAGTTTGAAAACGAAGATCAGGCTGAAAACAAGTTGACCTAAAATTCTCTCACCTCGAGAAGCATGCAACTGCTCTAAGAAGCATGTAACCATTTTAAAATTCAAGAACTTTTTCTTTCAAAAATCAAATTGGTTTACATAAATGTATGATGCTCTCTAGCAGGCCTCCCTGCTTATAGGATATGATTGTAAGCCCTACTTTTCAAGTCCACTTCTCCATGACACAAGCTGTAGTCAACAAGACTTGAACCCCATAAATTCAATTCTCTATAACTAAGCAAATAGACTTGAAAATGTTTAATATAATAAAGTCCAATCGAACAAACAAACCCCATGATGTATGTGGTTATTTTACATCATAATTAGAGTGGTCTATTTTAAAATTAAAATTTCAAATTTCAAATGTGAATGATGCAAATAATCTAAGCTTGATGATGGTTGTGTTGATAGTAAATCTCAAACGGAGGAGGTTTTATTATTCAAAATGCCCCACAAATCCCAACCTCAATCATTTCATATATAAATGCAGTTAAAAATGCAAAAATCTTAAGAAAATTATAAAATTCAAAATGTTTTGAACAAAATTGACCTTTTGAAGCTTAAAACAACAAATCGTTCTATCCTTCATATCAATTTATCATGGGTCACAAATTTAAACTTGATCTCAGCTCAGAAAGAGCTAATATCATATCAAGTGTATCGCTATGATCACTGTTAAAAGATGTCACGCTAGTAAAGACGTTGCATATGTCCTCTACTCAAGTGATTTTGTCGCCAAATGAAATAAAAAATAATGCTTATAACTAGAGTCATTTGTCCGTTTGGTTTCTCCGCAAAATGATGCTATTAACCTATAATTGCAGCCATAGTTTATATGCTCCCCAATAGCTCAAAAGCCATTTGGAGGTGAATTATAATGTGTATTTGATAATGCACAAAGCTGTCCATTAGTTAAGTTCGACTTAAAATTCTCTTTAGACAAAAACTCATCTTAAGTTCTATAAGGTCCACCTGGCAACACAACCCATAGCTGTCGATAAGAATCATTTGGTTAGATTGGGTCAAACACCTCTGCTGATTAAGTAGACTAAAAAGTTAATGTAACCCAAGATGATGAAACTATAGGATATTGATTGGGTTCATCATCTTCCTCCCCACCATCAACTTTACGCTAATGGCGATAAATTTTTCTGTCATAAACCCAAATTCTTGCTAGCTAAGCATTTAATATTTATTGAGTAGTTTTAATCAAAAATTTTCTTTCATCACCAGGAAGGGTAATTAATCATAGAGGGTTGCGCTTATGCGCAACCAGGAACCATATCATAAAGTCCTATTAAAATGAGTGAAATTTTTTGGTAGTGTCTCATTTGTAATCTAGTAGCCTTCTAAAAATTTAACTCGGAACTAGAAGCTCTTAGCAGTGTCAGTCGTGAATTTGTTAAGCCACACAATCCAACTCAATATCTTCATCATTTTCACTTTTTTTAATTGCAATTGGGCTAGTGTCACTGGAGAGAGAAAATTTACCACTAGCACCTGATCCTTTCTAAGCAAAAATCTCATCTCCTAGAGTGTTAAAAAGCTACATACTATTACCCATTCCTCCATCAAACCAGAATATCAAGCTCTTGCTGACAACCTCATACCTCATTTGGCTTCCCTTCCTCTGACAATGATTTGGTGTCTCAATCTTACATCCAACACCACTATATTATGATAACATTTTAGCTATGTCACTAAGCATGTTGAGATCAACCACCACTTCATAAGAGATCATATTTCTCACCAAGCAAATTCAAGTTATCTACATCAGCACTCAAGATCAACAAGCAAACATGCTAACCAAAGCTCTCTTCACGACTAAATTTCACATACTACGCACCAAGTTGACAGTGCAACCTCGTGCTATCAACTTGGTGAGAATAACAGCTTTATCTACCAGCCCATATGCTCTCAGCCTCATGGAACAGACTCCCCTCTGCAAGCCTTCCTCGGCCATCTGATGACAGCCACAGCACTCATTCAAGCTGTTAACTGATAATGGACTTATTCCTGTACTAGAACATTCTCAACGTCTTATAACGTAATAGCCTAGCTACTGCATGAATCAATTGAAATGAAAATTAATATTACATTTCTACTCTGCTGTATCGTTATCTTTTCTACTTTGTGAGTTTATATTTCTTTCTTATTTTATTAATCCTGACTACAAACAAAATATTTCCTGCAGTACTTCCTGTCATGTTATCATCGAAGTTACTGCCAGAGATGGAAGTAGAAGATAATGCCAAGAGGGAGCAGTTATTGTCTGGGATGGCAAATCTTCCAATTCCAACACAAATGGAGAAATTGAAGGTGAGTGGTTTCAATTACCATAATTCTAACATGTCTGTACTTACAGTGTCTTAAAATATTCATCATCCTTGCCATGCAAAACTTTCCAGGTTAGAATTGATATGATTAGCGCAGCGTGTGAAACTGCTGAAAAGGTCATAGCTGATACTAGGAAAGCACATGGACTGGGTTCTCGTCAAGGGCCTACCTTAGTTCCTACATTGGACAAAGTGCAAGCTGCCAAAATTCAAGAACAGGAAAATCAGTTGAGAGCTGCTGTAAATTTTGGAGAAGGTATTACTTTTTGCTGTTATATCCATCTTTCCATTATAGGATACCTCAATTGACGTTGTTGCTTTCCAACAACAAGTTCTCTTTTTTTCTGTCTGTGAACATTAATAAGGTACTTGCCCTGAGTGCTCTAGTAAACTACTTTCTCAGGGCTTAGAGTAACTGGGGATCAAAGGCATCTTCCATCTTCTCTTCCTCCTCACTTGGTGGATGTACTCGCCTCAGGTGACGGTGCACATAATTTTGGTGAAACTGGTATTGATTTCCATTCTTATGCAACTTGCAACATTTGTTTATCACCTTTAAGGTTTTGCAATCTTCAATGTTTCTCCTGCTACTTATTAAAATTAGTCCAGATCAGGGTTAGAAGCTCAATATAATGTAATGACCAATTAGATTGACAGTGTTGGTCTTTTTCTATATTCCTAATGTAATGGATGACCCTCTTCGACTGATGGTATACATAATTTTGGCAAATCTGTTATTGGTTGCCATTTTATGCAACTTGCAACTTTTTTGTCACTTTTTAGGTTTAGCAATCTTGAAGGTTTTTGCTGGATGTTAGAATCTGTTAGCGTATTAGGAAATGATAATAGGAAATCATTATATAAAGAGAGTTTTTTATTTTTTGAAAAAATATACTTTATTCTCCTTCAATTAAATCTATTCTTTCCTTTGTTTCTTCCGGTTATATCACAGTTTGCCTATAAATAGGCACCGTTATTTAGTGAATATGATCATCCAATTGATGCAGGACATAAATGCTATGATGATAGTTTATGTAGGATCTCACCCGCTTAAATTTTAGAGAACAATAATAAGCAAAACTTATACTAATTTAAATAATAAGATAAAATAAAAAGGCGATAAAACAAGCTTAGGCCAAATCACATGTGTAGAGGTTAAGATCTTAAAACAGTCAATTACTCTAGCATTGCATACATGGAAGGGTTTTCAACGAAAATCCCTATGCTAACAATAAGATTAGGCATGTAAGGTTCCCTCACTCAACTCTCCTACTTTTACTAGGCCTTAGCGGAGTGTTGCAAGATTTGTATTAAACAATTAAAACCACTAGTAAGGATCAACGATGAAGGAATGAGAGAAGGAAAGTGATGTAGAACGGAAATGTCGGCTTTGCTACGGAGAGGATCTCCTCTCCAAAATCTGAAATTGTTCCTTCAAAAAACTGAAATAAATATGGATTTGTCCCAGCTCACAAAATCTAAAAATTTTCTTCAGGTTTTTGTTCCAAAACCTGAGAAAATTCTCAGGTTCCAAGTAGAAGGAATGCTTCACGGGAGGAGTTTGGGAAATAGATTCGGAAGTAATGCTTAGGCAAGATTTTGTTAGAAGTAACGTACAGGAAATTAATTCCTTAAGGAAATTCGAAATAATACCAAGCCAAAGCAATTAAGGAGGGGGGCGGATGAATTGGCCAGATTTTGGAATTACTTCCAAATTAGGGGGGCTGAGAATAAATGGACAGAATTGACATTAGCTTAAGCTTTGAAATTTTGGCTGGCAAAGAGAGAAAATGCTTCTAAAGAGGCTTAGTAATAACTTAGGAAATAAATCCTAATAACCCTCACAGTGGGAGCCGGTGGTTTTCAAAGCCAACAAGAGAAATTAATGCCCTCATTTTTAAATTTAGGAGTTATAAAAGTGAGACAGTAAATCAGATTTTGAATTTAAATTTCAAATTGATTTCAATTAAACACTTTCCTAAAATAGATGAGCAAAATTAGGAAATAATTGTAAATTTTAATTTGAATAATTTCAAATTCAAATTAATCCCTAAATTAACCCAACCAAATTAGGAAATCCAAAGGGGGTAGAGAGGAAGGTTCGGCCGGCGGCTAATGAGGTGGAGTCGGCGGCATGGGTTCGGGTTTGGGGAGTATGCCGTGGGAGTGGAGGAGGAAAAGGTGGGGGACCGGATTAGGGAGCTGGCGGTTTGTGGTGGACGGGGAAAATAAGGTTGGCAATGGGGAAGGGGAAGAGGAAATAAGAAGGAACAAAATAAAAACAACAGATATAAGACAAAATAGAAGATAAAAACCGCAAGCCTCGGACTCTTCCGAAAACTGACGGGTGATGCTTTGCCCTTCTCCAAGGGACTTCACGCCACGAGCCCGGACCCATCTTGCGGCTGGTGGAAACTCCGACTCCCTCCCATAGGGATTTCACTAACGTTCTTCCCAAAGAACCCAAGTGCAAAACACAATTTTTTTATATCAATAATCCATCCTTCTAATACAAGAAAAGGGGCCTCCATATATAGGCCTCAAAAGAAATTAAAAGACACATTTGCCCCTTGGGCTTACATAAGACAAAAGGGTAAAAAGGGAAATTGCAAAACTAAATTAAAATACACTTAATAAACGAAAATAAAACAAAGTGATCTCGGTCGTCGATCTTCAGCTCCTCGGATTGGTATGGACGGTTGGATGTCCGCATCAGAAAGGGTCCACCTTTGTTAAGATTAAACTTGAAATAAAGCTGTAGGAGAGAAATTCTGGAATCTGGACAGCTGTTTGACGGATGTTCGGTGTGGAGATGGCACTTAGGAACCTTAAGGCAAGGTTGGACAGCAGTTGGTGGCTACAGGAACTTTTGGACAGCACATCTCTATGTCCAGAAAATTCTGGACAGCAAATTACCCAATCCTGGAATGCTGGACAGCAGCTATAACAGCATGGACAACAGCTTGTAGGGCTATGGAATCCTTGGGCAGATCACAGGAGTTGCCTAGAAGTCTGAACAATATCTTGGCACGGAAAATTTCAGACTTCCAGATCTCTGGACAGCAACTTGCAACGTTGGGGAACACCTTTTGACAGCTTCTATAAAGTATTGGGAGCTTTGGACCACAGCGTATGGCCTTCAGGGATACAAGACAGCACGTCATCTTGCTGGAACACAAGGACAGCCAGCAGGAATCACAGGGGCAAGAGAGGAGAACGTGGGGAAGAGCTTGGGAGGTGACGGATGGGCTGGGACAGGTTTGGAAAGGGGAATTAGAGAGTATATGGGGAGGATTTAGTTCCTTAGGAGGGAAAAATGGGCGGCAGCTTGAGTGGATTGGGTGGGGAATTAATGGGAGTAATTATGGGGATTAAGTGGATTGGAGAGAGGAAGTGGGCCGGCCATACATGGGGATTTAATTGGGGCATTAGAATTCCTTTCCAAACTTAAGATGTTAATTAAGGAAAGGGAATTAGGGTAGAATCTCTAATTATTTCAGATTTTAAGGGATTTGGAAAGTATCCATTTAGATTAATCTTATTTTAGGAAAGGGTTTAAATTTTGAAATTGAAATTTGAAATATTTCCAAAGTTTAAGATGATCTAAATTAGGCAAGTCTTTAATTCTTCCCTAGAGGAGTTTTGGGAAGAAAGGAAGGAGGGGAAGGAAGGTAGGGATGGCGGTTAGGGGAAGGTTGGGGTTGAGATCGGCGGCTTAGGAAGGAACTAGGGCTTATGTGATGCGGTTAGGAGGAGGAGCAAGGGATTTCCTTTGAGGCCAACGGTTTGAAGGAGGCGAGGTGGCGGTGGGAGGCTTGGCCGAGGGTGGGGAAAGAGTAGTTAGGGCCGGCGGTGGTGAGGCGGAGGAGGTGAGAAGATAGGTAATAGGAAATACTCGTATGCACAAGCAATTCCACCCAAAAATAAGTATCGCAGCAGGGAAAACTGCTTTTCGCAGCAGGAAATCAGCAAATAACAGCAGAAAACTGAGGATATTGGAGAGAAAACTTGTAGGAAAACCAATAGAGCAAAGATATTTCACTAGATAATCAAAGAAAACAAGCAATGATACCATTTCCTTCAATTCGAGAGGAAGGAAAACTCTCCTAATTCTCCGGCGTTACCAAGAGCCCAAAAGAAAACCCTAGATCTCAAAATAAGATTTAAAATTCAAGATACTCCTAATTCCCCCTATTAATCATGAAAGGAGGATTACAAATTACCTAATTACCCTTCTAATTCAAATTTTCCCTCCTAATATTGGATTTAACTCCAAGTGGGCCCCATTGGATTTTCTGCCCCCCTCTTTGTTGCCTGGCTTCCGTCGGCTGTAGACCAAGATCGGTCCAGGTTGGACCGGTCCAGCCGGCCCCTCCTGGGCCTGCCTATCACTACTCCCCTCCCAAAAACTCACCTTGTCCTCAAGGTGAAAGTCAGAGAACTGCTGCTTCACAATCTCATAGGGCTCCCAAGTGGCCTCGTGGTCTGGGAGGTCCTTCCATTTGATCAACACCTCTATGTTGCCCTTTTTGTTTGATCGGACTCCTGCTAACTCTAATGGTTCTAAAACCACCTCTAAGTCCTTCGTTATGTTGTCTGGAAGTTCTTCACTTCGTTGTCGGTAGGGTCGTAGTTTTAGGAATACCTTCTCCCCCACTTCAAACTGTATGTCTCGTCTGTGTGAATTTGCCTGCTTTTTCATGATTTGTTGGGCTCTCATCAAATGTTTCTTCAAATCTTCCAGTACCTTGTCTCTTTCTTCCAAATATTGCTCCACTGACGACACATGTGTACTACCTCTCCCGCAATGTACTAGGTGTGGAGGGTCCCTTCCATACAGCACTTTGAATGGGGTCATCTGGGAGGCCGAATGGTACGAGGTATTGTACCAGTATTCAGCCCAAGGCAGCCACTTTGCCCACATCCGCGGTGTCTCTGACACAAAACACCTCAAATAGGTCTCCACACTTCAGTTCACCACCTCCGTCTGCCCGTCTGTCTATGGATGATAGGCGGTGCTTCTCTAGAGGATAATTCCCTGCAATCAGAACAACTCCTTCCAAAATTGACTAAGGAATACCTTGTCTCGATTCGTCACTATCGATTCAGGAACCCCATGTAGTCTAACAACCTCCCTGATAAATGTTGCTGCCACTGACATTGCGGTGTAGGGATGTCGTAAGAGGATGAAGTGTGCATACTTACTAAGTCTGTCCACCACCACCATGATGACAGTGTATCCTTGTAATCGTGGTAATCCGTCGATGAAGTCCATGGACACTTCCTCCCAAACTTTGTTTGGAAGTGCCAATGGTTGTAACAGCCCTCATGGCGCCATGGCCATGTATTTGTTCCTCTGGCACACTTCACACCTCGCCACCAGCTCATCCACATCTTTCAGCATCCCTTTCCAATAGAGTTCTGCTGCTAGCCTCCTGTATGTCTTCTGAACTCCTGAATGGCCTCCAATTGCGCTACCGTGGAACTCCTGCAACAAGTTAGGGATGT